ACACGCGCACACGCACACACGCACACACACGCACACACGCACACACGCACACACACACACGCACACATGCGCACAGACACACACACACACGCGCACACGCACAGGCACACGCACACACGCACACGCACGCACGCGCGCACGCACGCACACACACACACACACGCACACACGCGCACACGCGCACACGCGCACGCACGTGCACACACACGAACACACACACACACACACACACACACGCACACACGCACACACACACACACACACGCACACACGCTCTCACACACATACACACACGCACACACACACACACACACACACACACACACACACACACACACACACACACACACACACACACACTGTGACGATACAGTGCCGCGAAAACGCAGCGCGCTTCCCGCGCACAGCGGGGCACCGCGTCGCCAAACTCCTGGGGGGTTCTCACATGCAACCTCCGCTCAACGGCAACTGGGGCGAAAAAGGGCTCACCCGAGGCTCGCTCCTCAGGGCCGCCGGCTGCCGCGCCGCGACAGGATGCGCATCGCGGTGACCGCCCCAATCCCCGCCGCCCGCCCGGGAGAAGTCGGAGTTTTTGCTCTGCGACGTGAGCCCAGGGAACTCTCGACCCCATGCCCGGGACTGTTGTTCCACCGCGGCCAGCTTCTCTTGACGGCCCCCACGCCCGAGGCGGCCCTCCAACTGCCTAAATCGTCGGCGCTGGCGTCGCGATGTCTCGGTGGCGCTGGAGGCCTGCACCCCCCTGCTGCCTTCCTGGCTGCACGCAATCAAGAGTGGCCCTGGGCAAGAGTGCCCTTTGGCGCGCGACTTGCAGGAGCCGCGAGGGGGGGGAACCTGGTCCAAACGCGAAAGCCAGTGAAGAAGGTCACTCCAGCGAAGGGTCACTCTCACGTGCGTGCCGTCGACCACTGTCCCCCCGCGGGGGGCGTCTTCCCTCAAGGACCTCGTGCGTTTTGAACACCCCATGGTGCCTGGCTCTGCATGGCCTGCATGGCCGCGTTCATGCCGCCTCCAGGGCGCGGCGGCGGCGGGGCAGAAGGGAGGGGGGGAGGAAGATGAGGGCCAAGACCTCCCTAGTGTTGCGACAAGCCCGCGGGAGCATGTGTTTATTCAATTTTCTGGCCTCTGGGATACCTCCTCGGGTCCTGGGGCTGCAAAACCACGACCCGGGATGCATAAGAGGTCCTCGGGCTGGCAAACCTGAACTGGCTCGAACTGTAAATCGTACCAAGTCGGAAACGAACCGTGTCGCCAAACGAGTGGTCCTGAATCGAATCAAAATCGGATCGCCGTGCCCGGCTCCGGCCTGGCCCTGGCCGTTGCCAGAGACGCGAACCTCATCGAATCGAATCGGAGTGCGCGGCACCAGCCGCCGAATCGGATCGCAGCGAATCGGATCGCAGGCGGCCCTGCATTGGGGACGAGGTTCGGGGGCCCGCGTCGCAAAATGGTAGCGTTGGGTTTTGGGGGCGCTCTTTACCTATTCTCTCTTCTCGGCTTCCCCGGTGGGCTCAACGCCGCGGCTGCATGGTCGCATCGCAGTTCTGGTCAGGGCGCCTTTCAAGGGGGCCGGGGTCCGGGGGTCAGAGGAGCAGGAGCAGGAGGAGGAGGAGGAGGAGGAGGAGGAGGAGGAGGAGGAGGAGGAGGAGGAGGAGGAGTTCCCAAAATTTTCCAGCAATCGGGCATCAGGAGCCTTGCCGCCTGCATGACGTGTGGCTCCTGGGATTTTCGCCCCTGTCCCTCCCGAACACCCTCGCCTCATTGCCTTCCGTGGGCTGGGAGCCGTACGGGTTCCCTTACACAATCTGCTCCCCCGGCGGGCGAGTCGCTTGCCCTCCTAATAATTCTTTGCATGCTTCCTGTTTCTCGTTTTCGCCTGACTCGGGGATGTTGTACAGCCCTCTCGAGCGAGCGAGGAAAGGGGGTCTCTGGGCTGCAGGGGATGATCCTGCCTGGGATGTGCAGGCGTCGATGCCGCCATCGCTGCTCCCACGCCCCGTCGACCCTCATCTCTGGGGGTTGTATACCCAGCGCCCTGATGCGGGTGCTGACCGAAGATCTTGCTTGCGATCGCCGTGCCTGTCCGTCAGTCTGCTACAGGGAGCCAGGCTGCGCCCGTATCCTCCCCTGCCCCTGCCTCTGCGCGTGAACGCTAGGGGGAGCTCTCTTCACCTCTTCTCCCTTCTTTGAGCCTCGTTGATCATGGGCTTCGAACCTCACGGCCCTTAGGTGAGGGAGGGACCGAGGAGGGGGGAGAGAGGAGGATAGAGGAAGAACGGTAAAGTCGAGAAGGACGATATGGGAGGTGGAAAAAGAAGGATTAGGAAGAGGAGCCGCAACAGGAGGAGCAGAAAGATGAGGAGGAGAAGGGAGTCAAATACGTATTAGCGTACCTCACCAAGAAGGTCAAATAAGGGTGAGCATGGGGAGTAGCAAGAGAAGAATGCGAAGGCACGGCTTGGATTATTATGAAGAGGAACACGAAGAGGCGGAGGGAAAAGAAAAAACACAATATACAACACATCCCCGCCATAACCGTAACGGCCTCTGGTTTCCGTGACCGCGTGAACCGTCAAATCCTGAATGGCGGGGATCATGCATCTTGAGCGCCCACACCCTTGCTGCCGCGGAGCTGAGACGGCATGCACCTGGGGGAAGAGAAAAAAGGCACCACCACCGCCATGTACCCTTTGGACGTCCCCTGGGGCGCGTTCTGACCAAGCCTCCGCGGCGAATCCAGACGTGGCGACGAGAGACGGGCAATGGTATCGGTAAAATCGCCCTCCTGCGAAAACAGACCGTACCCATGGGTCGGAAATATGAAGGCGCTGGAAGTAGGTTGGTTCCCTTCTGGCCCGCCCCAAAAAAGAGAAATGACAAGCGAACACAACTCGACGATTGCAGTAGGAAGGCGCCTAAAGTACAGTGGATGCAGGCACGGTGTATATCCATATCCACTGCATCTTGGCGTTTCGGGCTGCCTTCAGCAGACACCCGCTGCGCAGTGCATATGCATAACATCCTAGCCCGCAGAGACTCGATTTGCATCCATGTCCACTGCGCCTCGGCCTCTCGGCGCCCCTTCCCAGAAAGTCCACGACGCAGTGGATATGGATGCAAATCTTGCCCGCGCTGGAACTAGGGCTCCCAACGAAGCGCGAATAACTTCGCGCCCTCGAGGGCGCCCTTGGTCCCAGGAAGTCCAGACCTCTGCCCAGAGGGCCAGCTTGCCATCCCGAGTCGTATCTGAAGGTCCTGGGGCCCAGCGAGGGCCCCCCGGGGCCCAAGACGACGAGAAGCCTTCGTCCTGACTTTGCCAGTGCGCTGGAGGCCTCGGGAAGCCCCAAGACCCCTGGCGTCGTGGACAGCACCGGGACGCCCCGATCTTCTCGCTTCGGGACTCTCGACGGACCGCTTTGGGCTCGAGGGCACATTGCGGAAACAGCCCGAGGCACGCAACTACTGAAGATGGTGTCGAGGAGTGGAAAAATAACTTTGGGGGCCCCCAGAACAATGGGGTGACATACCGTGCGCCGACCTTGAATCCCCAAGACCTGACCGCACGGTCCGTCACCGGGAGGCCCCGATCGCCGGAGACATCCTGGGAGCACGACCCAAGTCCCAAAGCCGTGCGGTCACTCCGAATCCCCACTGACTCACCGCACGGTGTGGTCACCGCACCGTTTGGGAATTCTCGACGAAGACGCAGGAGGGGCTGGGAGCTCGGTCATCATCGTCGGCCTCTTCCCCCCAATCGGCCGCGCCACCACCACAAGCGGGACTTTCGCCACGAAATCGAGCCAAGACACCGTTCAGCGTGCGTGGTGATAATTGTGCGGAGGGGCGACACGCGGAGACAGGGGGAGGAGACGCAGCGAATTGGCAGCGCGTTGCGCCAGCATGCGCCCAGCATCTACGGACGGCGTGAAGATGGGGGAAAGTTGAAGGCTCATCTTGGAGGCGGCTGGGGCTTGTGAGCTGTACGAGACCAGAGAAAATCTGAGCGTTGCTCCCGGGATCGCAACCGACAACTTATTCGAGCCGCGTGCAGCTGCGGTGACGAGGGGGCCCCTTCCTCCCCCCTTTCTGCTGGCCAGAACCGATGCTGGGCCACCTCAGCCCCCCATCCAGCTCCAAGGCTCACCGAGACCCCCCCCCCAACTACCCCTCCCGTAGTGCTACGCAATTGCGAATTAGGCACCGCCGCGGGCAGCGAGGATGCCCATGGACATCGTCGGGTAGCGCTGGGCGATGTCCAGATCGGCCTTCTCGACGAAATCGTCGTGCAGGCAACTCAGCGATCTGCCCTCGTGCTCTGCACGCTGCTGGAAGAAGCGCCTCGCCCTGCAGCGAACGAGATCCTCCTCTTGCAAAGATGCGAAAAAGTTCTCGAACGTCAGCCGCACGTCGAGGTCGATCGGGGATTTACCTCCTCCGACCGAAGTCTCAAGCTCCTGGGCCACGGTGTCCAGTCCGTAGAAGATACAGCTGATCGAGGAAAGGCAAGCACCAGCACTATAAACTTTCGGAGCTCCGCGCGGATCTCTTGGATCTGCGCTGGACCCCCCCTTCATGGTGCGCTCCGCGCGCCAGGGTCGGCGCCGGAGGCGCCGCCAAGGGGATCCAGCGCAGATCCAAGAGATCCGCGAGGAGCTCCGAAAATGTATGGCTTTGTAGTTTGTTCTTCTTCGAGCTGAGTCCGAGGCAAGTGCTTGCGAGCACCCAGGTGCTCTCGTGGCGGACGCACCACGGGTACAGCGCCAAGTAGAAGAAGAGGATGCCGTTGATCAGCTGGCGGAGCTGCTGCGTGCCGATGCACTCCTGCAGCGTGACGATCTCGTCGAAACTGTGTATGATCCCGTCCACCAGGCGGTCGACGTTGCGGTGCCACCGCCGTACCTTGTCGGTCTCGCTGGTCTTCTTGCCTCCCATGTCGCCAGCAAAGCGCCCATAGTCGAAGACGTCGTCGCACACCTCCCGCACGTACTGCAGCATCGGGCGCGGGGTGCATGCCATGTTGGCACTGACCTTGGATCCGCGGACGAAACACTCCTCGAGATCGCGGTCCGTGACCGACTTCGGCGGGCTGAGCGCGGGCAAGCCGTGCTCCTTATCGACCGGCGCGGACCCAGCCTTCTCGCTGTGCAGCACGAGCCAGTCCGCGGACTGCAGGAAAGCGACAGAGAGCACCCAATGCAGCCTGGTCCAGTTCCCCTCGTAGGCGTCGGAGCTCCGGCTGGCCAAGTGCAACAGGCTCCTTGCACTGCCCATCATGCGCAGCACTGCGGCGCCAACGTTCTGTCGGAGGCTCACGGCGTTCTTTGTGCGGAAGTAGAGAAACTCCCAAAGCAGCATGCAGTCGAGTTTTATTGTCGAGGACGCGCGAGTCGACACAGTACCCTTCCTAGGGTAACATCACCCCATGAGTATACGACTTGGGACACGAAACGCAGGACACAAGGGAACTCTTGACTTGGAGGGGTCAACCTTCTCATCGAATAACTGTGAACAGCAACTTTCGGAGGTCCGCAAGGATTTCTTGGGTCGGCGCTGGACCCCCTCTATACACCCCCTCTGCGGGAGCGCGCGGAGCTTGCGGGGGGCGGCGCCGTGTGGGGGAAAGGGGGTCCACCGCATGCCCAAGAAGTTTAGTGAGGGCCTCCGAACGTTTACGTTCGTGCCGCTTTTCGGTTCTCTGGGAAAGACAGAAGGATCGCGAGCAGCATGCCCGTGCCCCTGAAGAAGCTCTCGTCCAGCCAGGTGTGCTGCACGCGGTCGCCTGGCAGCACGCGGAGGGCCATAGACAGAAGAAGAAACATCGGCATAAACATTAACCTTCGGAGGACCGCGCGGATCTCTTGGATCGGTGCTGGAAACCCCCTCCCTGGCGCGCGGAGCGCGCAAGGGGCAACGCCAGAGGCGGCGCCAAGGGGGCCCAGCGCAGATCCAAGAAGTCCGCGCGGATCTCAGCAAGCTGGCCGATTTTGCTTCCCTGGATGGAGGTGACGA